AAAAAAAAAAAAAAAAAGAAAGAAAAAACAGTGCTTCCCAACCATCCTTGGCAATGTGAAGGTAACATGATCAGATTTATGTAAAGTCCTTACATATGACAGTATGTGAGTGGGAGCAAGGAATGAATAGGAAATATAAAACCCCAGAACAGATAGAGAACAATGAAAACCTGGGGAAATATGATTGCTTTCTACCTAGGGACACCTATGCCTGAAAATAGAAGGACTAGTTGGGGCTTAAGTAAGGAAGAGGCCTAACTGAGAACATGGTGACATTAAGAGCCGCTGGGTGACAATTCAACACAATACAGTACAGTACTACAACAGCAGATTCTATTAGTCCTAAGGCTGAGGAAAGCATTTGTTCTAGTGCCTGATTATAAATATGTACAATCATACTGAATTAATTGGTACAGTCTAAGTGCTTGACTAATCCTAGCTCTTAACTAGTAGGTATAATGAGACTGATCCCTGTATTTTTAAGCTTTTAGAACTGGTTAAATAGTGTGGAAAGCAAATGGATTTTCAGGAACAGAATATAAAAATTGACAATATATTGGATAATAGTCAAGAAGAAAATCTTATGGGACGATTTTGCCGAGGAGAGGAAAGGGAAAGGATTGGGAAATATTTTTGCACTAGCTAATTACCTGCATTTGATACTGCTTAAACTCTGTGTGATTTCATTCATAAGTCATTTAATGACCTATTTTAGTTTGCCTTTTTTTTTTTTTTTTAGTATTTTGTTTCCTTTAACAATAGAATACACAACCTGAACAGCAATAATATAAATATATATTTTGCATGTCTAATAAGTATTTTAGACAAATACTTACCAGCCAGTTTTTGTGTTTGCCTGAACTGGAGCTAGCCTAACTAGAAAAACTCAAACAAGCAAAAGTTAATATTGTTTCTACAGTCACTGATGTAACAATAATAGTAGTTGTACACCACCATGCTGAAAATCAACTCCCTTTATGTCCAAACAATAGCGTGAATCACAGAATTCTGACCTTGATATACAAATGTGATCATGTAGTAATTATAGCTCTTGTGCTTTCTGTATAAACAGACTACTTCATCTGGAAATGCTGTAGGGTACTGCTTCATTCTCCAATTTACAGCTAATGACTGAGCAGAAAGCTTTTATATCGCAGAAAGTTTTAAAATAAAGCAGGTAGAAAAGATCTTATTTCCTGAAAATGAAAAAATTATGCTGGTTACCTGAACTACAGGGAATCAAGTCATTCCTCTATCTATATTTTGTTTGAAAAGCATATCTTACAAATTTAAAGATTGTCTCCAAAATCATATTTTGCAAAGGTTACTGAAGCTATTTTCATGGGCAAAATATAGAATTAAATTACTCACAGTCCATGTGATAACTGACATGTTCTTGAACAACTGTGAGATTACAGAAAATGTCTTTCATTTCGTGCCAAAATCTGCTTGTTCTGTTTGTGTCTATGTTGGTATCATCCAAACAGGATGTGACAAACATATGTTCTTTGGCTTTGCCCTAATCCGTGATTTGGATAACACTATTAGGATGAGGTCTAACAAACTTGAGTGAAGCAAATCCAAGGATATCTGTCTGTGGACAAGTTACCTCAGACCTGATTTCAGTATGTCTTAGCACAGAAGCTCCATCCTGACCTCATACATTAGTTGTATGTGTTTTCGGTGCTTCCATAAAAATACTAGCATGCTTATAGGCACGGGATGAATCCTGAGAGAAATAACAATAGAAAAGTTGTCACTGAATTGTCCTAACTCAGCATAGAGCCCAGGACTGACCCCGAGGAGCTGACTGACATCCTCTTGATGATCAGTCCCTAATTATAATAGTTTCTGAGAAAAGTCAATTGCTCAGTTTTTAATCTATTAAATTATTTCAGTGATGACATTAGATAACTCTGATTTCTTAACCAAAATTTTGTTTGGTGCCTGAAGTTCTACCAAAGTTTGTAATTATTACATCAATAGTATAGGTTGTTTTGTTTTGTTTTGTTTTTTTTTCCAGGAAAAGTTAAAACATCAAGAAATATCAAGACAGCTTTCTTGAAATAAAATATATTTTCTTTAATTCCATCCTGATTGGCATGAATTGCATTACTTTTCTCCAATTCTTTATGAATAATGCCTGGAATTAGCCATTCCAGTGTTTTACACTGGATTGATGTCAGGTTGAGAGGGTTATTAACCCTCAGGTCATTCCACCAAACTTTTTAATATATTGGCAAAGTATGAGCTTTCTTCCACTCATCTTAAAAATACCCATGTGTTTGAATATGTATGGAAAATCAACTTAAAAATTCAGTTTCTTGGACAGTACTCTTAGAAATAAGAACTGATTAAAAAAGAATCTGGTTTTAGGAGATGGCATTACTGTTAGAATGGAAATTAGTTCTCCATCCTCATCTGATATGATCATCATATGATTCTGAAATGAGCATGGCAGGATATATGGGCTGTACAAGTGCTATAGAATAGTTGCATTGGACAGCTCAAATGCAGTTTAGGATTTCATGCTGAAGACATAATTCTAAGACTCAACAGTTTTGTAATATATCAGCACCACATGATGCCACGACACATTGCTATAGAGGGCCAGAGGGTTTAAGTGTACTTGTTCGGTAATTTTCTGCAGTCTCATTCAAAGGTGAATTTTCTTTAAGACTCAGATATATGGCAAAGAGATTTGTGTAAGTATTTAGACTGAAGGACTCTCTAGTCTTTGAAGCCTGTCTTTTGTTATTTGTCTAAGGGCTTCAGGATGATGATATTGTGAGTTAAATCTCCTTGTATCCACTTAAGAGTGACCTTTTTATCACTTCCAACTATATCCATCGGCTGTTTCTTGGGCTCAGGGAAGAATTTTCATTTTGTGGAGGCAGCAACTTAATCAGAGTGTCTGTTGCCTGGCTTCAGACCTCTCGAGAGCTTTCACTGATCTCGTCAAGGGTATTTTTTTGTATTTCATTACAAGGCTGCCATCCACAGTCCAAGATTTTGAGTTACTTACAATCCACCTCTGAAGTCTGTGAGGGGCTAATAACATGTGAGAGTGCTTCCCACCTTCTCTGTAAGGTTAGTCACTGCTTAATTATTTTCTCAGTACGTAGTCTATAACAAAATATCCTCTACACAGTATATGGATAATAGTTTAATAATATAATCTGAATGCAACACCAAGTCCTCTTGTCACTGCCTCCACTCGTTCTAAATAGC